GATCGATAATCGTCGTCGTGAACAAAGTCGACCTTCTTCTTCGGGACTGCCCCGGCTATCTGAACAACATTCGGAACAACTTTCGTGGAGGCTGGCTTCACTAGAAATAACATCAAACACGTTAAATTTACGTGTAGCTCATCTCGGCTACGGAGTCGAACAGCTGATCACTAAAATCCACTGGGTAACACGTGGCGACATCTATCTGGTCGGATGCACCAACGTCGGCAAGAACTCCCTTGTCCGGTCCGATCTGTGTAAAGTCAAAGCAACCGATCTGATCCAACGATCCACGGCTTACCCTTGGCCCGGCACGACTCTCAAGATGCTGAAATTTCCCATCCTAAGATTTTCCGATTACAGGCTCTATCTTCGCTCGAAATGAGTTCAGTCCGAACCGAAGAGGAAAAACTACGCAAGCACCAAGCCAGAAGCACCGGATCACCCAAATTTGACACTCTCATTAGTCATGTTGGTCAAACCTTCGCCGACGATGTATGGTAAGTTCTGACTATTTATGGCTAGATTGATAGCCATCTAAAGTTTTTTTTTTAATTTTTCGTGGAACCACCAACTTGAATAAAAAAAAAACAAAAAAAAAACGAAAAACAGCCAGGATTCACAAAAATATATCGATAAACGGTAAGCATTTTTTCCGAAGGATTGACAAAATTTGACAGTTGTGGTAAATTTGGCTTTGCCGATCTCACGGCAATTGAATGTTTTACCGCGATGTTTGCCGAAGGCTCGGCTGTTGGATCCTCGGCACTTTTTTTTGCCGGCGAAAAAATTTAAGTGTGTTTACCAATTTTTGGAAATCGACGAATCAAACGATTGTCTCGTGATGGAACTGCTTAAGGGAGTCATAATGTCATCGTTGAGTAAGGAGGTCCAGGATAGTTTCAGAACAGCAGCTGTGACATTTGGTTTAGGAGCGCTTGGATTTTTCTATTACTAGTTATTGGAGTACTTCAATTTGGCGCTTAATATCAATAGGTTAAGGACAACGTTCAACAAAGTCTCATTGACGCCACACTACTTCATGTTATTAGAAACTTATTCGTCTTATTCGCATTTCAAGCTTATTGCTTATCGAATATTAGCTTATTACGTACTCTAATCTCAACTTAGTGTTCTAGATGCACTTCAACAGTTGTTAGTTGAAAGCTTTCGATGCCTGTACCATTTTTGCATTAGTATAATTGTGTGGCAAGTACAGTCATACTCTATGCCCAGGGAAGTCGAGAAATTTTCCAACCCGAAAAATTCCTAGCATATAAAAGATCACTAACATAATGGTAAAATTGAGCTTTTGCCGTGTCAATTCTTCAAAGAAAAATAGAATTCTTCTTACAAAACTTTTAATCGACATTTATTCTATTCTTCCATTAATTTCAATATTAGAGAGCTAAGAAGAATTTACTCCTAAAGACATACAGTAGATACAAGTAGTCTTCAAAAGAAGATTCTCTTTCATAACGTGTATCTAATCTAATCTAATCTAACACCAACACAGCCAGTTCTTGAAAGCATTCTGGAAAATGATATATATACCTACATAATTTTTCTTGTCTATTTGATATGTGTTTCATATCGAAGATGCGTCACACATATCAAAACGGCCAGGCCTTCTGTGCAGCATTTAAGGGGCAAGATGATTCAGAAAACATCGGGCCTGTTTAAATTGTAGATTTAAACACGATGCTTCAGATCCAATAAATGGATGAAACGTGGACATCTCATACCGTACGTTCCGATTTTGGTAATTATATGATTGGTTGGTCGTTGGAAGCATCAAAGCTAGAAAGGTTAAGTGATGCTCCATTTTCTTCTGACGGTTGGGGCATGAGCACTAACTCTTGTTCTAGCCTATTATGACTTATGGCTATTGCGCCATTCCCAACAAACATTGAATGTTGAATAAGAGCTTATTCAGGCAAACATAAGCTACTTCAGCTAAAAAATAGCTTATTCAGCTGTTAATCAACTCAAATTGTTTGTTGGGTTATTCGCTTTCTGAAAAGAGAAGAGGGAAAGGAAAAGGAGAAGGACAAAGGGAAAAGGATTATGTGAAATCTATGAACATAAACAATATTTTTTATTTGAAATATACAATATAGAAATACATAACGGCGCGGTGGTCACTACCCGAGTCTTGTTACTATTATCAAGTCATAAAAAGTAACAACACAGTTCGAAAACAGTAGTGTAAATTTCTGTCACTATGATGCACATAAATGGAGCGTCACATATCATACAAATTCACATTACAGATCGTGTAAATTTATCAGTCGTTTAATGAAATATTCTAAATATTGTATGCAACCATTCATCTTTGTAAGCAATATATCTAGGAAGTTGCTAGTTCACGTGAAAAGGAAGTTTACATGCTTCAATTTTAGCATGCATGGATATTTACATCACCATTAAAATTCATAATTTTTTGGTGTGAAGGACCAAAATGTGATCCTTTGATTACTGGATAATCCTGATTCACTAGTTTGAAGTTGTCCCGACTAGGGTTCGGTGGTAGATCTTATACCAGTAACGCACCACAACAAGGTGATCTCTCAACGTTACTGGTTTGAAAAGATAAAAATTTACAAAATGGAACGAACTCACCAAGTTTAGCCAATTGAACCTGAAGGCTGCCTGACATGTGTTGATGTAGAAGTCCAAATTGTAGACGAAGCTTGACGATATTTGACATTTTTCCTGAGCCCGATGGCCGCCATCTTGGATTCGTTAATTTAATTTTCGATTAAAATAAAATAACACTTTATTACTACATAATCCAGATGACAGCCCTATCGGCAACCGATATTGTGTGTATTAAATATGGCGTCTGACATCGATTTTCGGCATCTACGTTATGAAAATTCCCATATTTTAGTTCTGAAAATTTCCATATTTTAGGGTATTTGACACTTTTTCTCAAATCGGAAACCACCATCTTGGATTTCACAATGGCATCGGATATTGATTTCCAGCTTCTAGACATTACCCTGATTCTATAAAAAAAACTGTATACATATATATTTGATAAAATTTTACATATTTTTCAAAATTTCAAGAATTTAAAAATGGCGTCGGACTTCGAATTTCATTCGCTAAATGACATCCCGATTCCAAAAATACCCATATTGATGGGTATTTGTTAGTATTTCCCACTTTTTCGTATTTGACAGTATTTCCTATTTTTCTTAAATCGGAAGTCGCCATCATGGATCATTTCCGGCCTCTAGATGACATGCCGATTCCTTAAATACCATTATTAATAGGTATATGACAGTATTTCCCACTTTTTCTGACATCGAAAGCCACCATCTTTGATTTCAAAATGGCATCGGATATCGATTTTCAGCCTCTAGATTTCATTCCGATCCCAAAAATACCATATTGATGGGTATTTGACAGTATTTCCCACATTTGTTTGAACCGGAAACCACAATCTAGGATTTCAAAATGGCGTCGCATATCTATTTCCAATCTCTAGATGTCACCCGATTTCAAAAATACCCATATTGAAGGTCGCCATCAGTATTTTCCCCTTTTTCTGATATCGAAAATCGTCATATTGGATTTCAAAATGTCGTCGGATATCGATTTTCAACCTCTAGACGTCACCCCGATTAAAACATTACCCTATTGATGGCTATTTGGCAGTATTTCTCACTTTTTCTGAAAAAGGAAGCTGCCATCGTAGATTTCAATATGGCGACGATCATTGATTTCAGGCCTATAGATGTCATCCCGATTCCAAAAATACCCATATTGGTGGGTGTTTGACAGTATTTCCCACTTTTCCTGTTATCGGAAGCCGTCATCTTGGATTTCAAAATGGCGTCGGATACCAATTTTCAGCCTCTAGACGTCATCATCTTTTATAAACTGGAAGCCGTCATATTGTATTTTAAAATTGTGTCGCATATCGAATTTCGATCTTGAGACGTCAACCCGATTCCAAAATACCCATATTGATAAATCGTTGTCAGTCTTTCATACTTTTTCTGGAATCAGAAGTCATCATCTTGAATTTCAAAATGGCGTCGGTCATCGATTTCCGGTCTCTAGACGTCACTCCGAGTCCAAAAAACCCATATTGATGGGTAAACAAACCACCCGACAACGATAAATTTTACATCCACGTGCACCGATCTATGAGCATGCGTTCAAATCAACCGAGTGAACAATCAACAAAAGTCAGAAAAACTGCGTGAATTTGGATTGAACAGCTTCGCTTCAATGCGCAAGTAAGTTCATTTGACAATGAAAGACGAAATGAACACTAGTCAAGACTATACAAACAGCATGAAAACTGATCGTAAGTGGATCTGTTGATGTTCAAGAGCATCTGCTGGAAGAGAAGACAGAATGACTTTCAATTGAAAGTGATGATTGACAGCTTCGTCGTCGCTTGACGATTATCGATTGAAAGTGACTTTGTTGGAGCCTGCTTGGGAGTAAACCCACGATCTTCTTCTCAGTAAGCAAAAGCGGCAGCCACCAAGCAAGCCGAGCTCCTCAATTTAAACCTTGGGACATAATTTGGTAAAGTTTTTATGAATACTAATAGAATTATAGTGCAAACAAATGAAATAAAAAGGAAGAATCTCACCCGAATGATCTGTAATTAGCCCGCCTCTTCGTGATTCTTAAGATCAAATGTTCTCGCAAATGGAGATCCATCTCCTTGATCCTGATAATAACAAAATCAGTTTCGGAATAAACGCACCGTCATTGCAGCATTGTCGATGAACCTCCAGATGTTGGCTCACGATCCCCGTTCCGATCAGCTCTAACTGTCCCACTCTCAGATTCAAACATTCCAATACGCAAAAACACATGTTCGCAAGAAACTTCACAATTTGTTAAACACGAGAGCAAAATTCAAACACCTCACTTCTTTAACGCGACCTACTTCGATCCAAACAAACGGGAATTTCCCAAATTTTCACAACGACGGACAGGCGGCGGAAGAAAAAAAAAAAAGACACACGTTATTTTCTCCAGTTATCGGACAGTTAATGTTGTTCCATTTTATTTAGCTGTTTTTTTTTCCATACTTTGTTGTTGTTATAATACATGAAAAATCGTGAGTGTGTATTTTTGTGAACGCCATAAATTAAAAAATATTCCTTGTTACAATTCTTCACAGAATATGTAGCGCTAGCATTCCTGGTCTTCTTGCCTTGCATTTTTTCCCAAACTCTTCCCTTGCTGAAAAGGTTGGATGTTTTTTGTAGATTTTTCTGCCGTTTTTTATAGTAAAAACTTTTGCTTCTTACAGTTGTTTTTATGCACGTTTTGTTCTTTTTCTTCTTCATTTTCTTCTTCTTCTGTTGGTTTGTTGGTTTTTTTTAGAGTAATAATTTCCATATGATGTTGTTTTTATTTCCGTCGCAGGACGATGTCGAGTGTTCTGCGGTATTCCTCTTGGACGTCTCAAGTTGTTCGTCGACGGTTTGCTGTTGTTTGTTCTTCCTTTTCAATTTGATTCTCTCGTCGCGTAGTATGAATGCGTAAAAAGACATTTGCTGCTCGCTTGAATTGTTTGCAAATTACAGTTAAAGATTTTCTCCTTACATTTTTAGTTTTGGTAGAAAGGATCTGATTGGAAATTGGTTTGACGCGGAACGTGCACGGCCGCCGGTCCAAAAAAGCGAGTCCACGTGCCGTTCCAGAGTGTGAATCACAAAAACTTCAATCGGGATGTGTACATTTATAGAAGTGTTGTTTTGCAATATTTTTTTTTGTTCGATCTCCTTCCACTGATTAGCGTTTTGTTTGTTTTGTCTTAATTCTTCGTATTAGAGGGGACACAGAGGCATAGAATAATACAATTCGGTTTCTTTTTTAATATTTTTCTTCTTACGTTTTGGAACAAACGGTTTTTGTGAGTAAACATCGTGTGTGAAAGCCGAAAAATTTCGAAGAGAAAATGAAACCAATCCGCGGAAGAAACCTGCAACTGCTTCTCTGGCAGCCCTTCTTCCAATGACACGAAAACGAAAAACCCATAAATGTCGCACTGCTGCTGCTGCTGATGCACGAATTTTTCTCTCAAGCTCCCACAAAAAAACAGGTGAGAGCTGTCAAACAGAATCAAAAAATGCTCATGTTGTGTTCTGTTCGTTCTGTTTGACTGTATTTTGTATGATTTGTTGTAGCTTTTTTTGATGCGTAATTACAAATTACAAGCGATTTAAAACCTTTCGCTGCCTGTTTTGTTTTTTTTTTCTCTAGTTTCGTAAAACAAAAACAAAAAATAACAATTTTTTTCTGTGAAGTGAAACTATTTATATTAACGAAGCTTTGTTTCATAATTTTTCGGGCTGTTTCCCAAATGGAAACAATTATCGGGAAGGGGGGATAAATAGAACATACATACAAACATGTATTTTGTTTCTCTCTTTTCTCTTCTTTCTGCGCTCTCGCTCCGGCGGCTCGGTTATCTTCGGCATGCTGCGCTGTGCTTCGCTTTGCTTCGCTGCCAGGTCTGCGAGAGAGCCTAAACGCCACAAAGAAAGTGTGTGTTTTTCTTGCAATTTCTTAAAGAAATGATGATCTCTTGCATTTGTTTGATCTGCTTCTTCTTCTTCTTTTGCTCTCTTTGTCTTGTGTTTTTTTTCTCTGCTTCTTTTGCTTCTTCTTTTTTAATTAATTAGTCAAAAGGAATTTCTATTATATTTAAGTGTGTGTTTTTTGTTTTTCATTAATTTTAGTTTGGTTAATTATCGCCACCCTCCTGTGGTTCATCACCGTCGCCTTGGGTGTCCGAGGTCCACAGGGTAAGGTTATCCCTCAGCAATTGCATGATCAGGGTGGAGTCTTTGTAGGAATCCTCGTTCAGGGTGTCCAGTTCGGCAATCGCGTCATCGAAGGCCTGTTGGTTTTCGGATGGATCCGTAGCCGTAAAATAGAAAAATATTGTGGGCAAGAGGAAAAAAATAAACAATTAATATCATCGACCGTTCAATTTCTATCCTCGATAGGTTAATAGAAACTCAAAGCTATAATACCGACTGTTAGATCATTCAATTCGAAGTAGCAAAATAATAAGGAACAGAAGAAAAATGATCAAAATAAAATACACAACAAGTCACGTGTTTCAGTTTCAGATGAGATTTGCCTGATTTTGGTTTCGGTTTCCGTTTCATTCAATGGTAATCTATTTAGAAGAAAACACACATCGGCTGCATTCCACTGGGATGGGGATCCAATCGGTTTTGGGTTAGTTTACAGTTCGGTTGGGTTCGGGATTTGGTTAGACGATGATAATGATTCGGGTGTCCGGAAAAGTAATACAATGAGATGTACTCCATTTGGCGTAAATTTGGCAAATATAAATATGAGTTGCCGGGGTGGCATTGAATTGAGTTTTAGCTGTGACTAAGAACCAGACATATCTATTGACCTTTTAATGGGTGTTTTTAATTGCACGACGCATTCGGCAGGGCTGGATAATTTCATGGTCGTCTTGTGAGGCTGACAGGTTGGTTTGGTCAAATTTGGTCTGATTTACTTTCAGACTAATAAAAGTCGTTTTAATCTACACACATACACACTTGGTTTTATTTGCTGAATCTCAGTAAATTTTGCCGAGATGTGCACAGCCGAGTGCTTGGCAATAATTTTTATTAAGATCTCAGCAAACATGATATTTATTTGCAGAGATTCAAGACTCAGCAAACCAAACGTCACTGTTGCTGAGATCTCGGCAACATATGTTTGCCGGGAGCTCGACTGTGCAAATCTCGGCAAATACAATTAAGGGTGTAGATTTGTTTTTGCCAGGATTTGCACAGCTGAGTGTTCGGCAATACGTTTTACTGAGGTCGCAGCAAACTTGACTTTTGTTTGTTGTATAGACGACCATTGAAACTTCGTATCTCACGGCCACCTTAAGAAAAGGCTTGATGATGCAGGTTTAAAATTTTTTTCGTTGTGAAGTATGGGATTGAAATCAGTGATGGCATAATAATCAATCAAATGATGTTTTTCCTCTCTCAAAAGCTTTCAATATCTCGAGTGATATTGGAACAAAATATCATGCTTGATATTGATTTTACAAGCTCCTTTGATATTGCGAGGCTATACACAACATGCAAAAATGCTGCTGCGAGTTGCACATCGTTTTCAAAGAAAGGGAAAGCATAGTTTGATATCGCTCTTTACTCTGCACCGATGGCAGACACGAAGTTACTGCTGCCAGCGGTGGTGGAAGTTTCGTTTCGTGTTCGGGTGTAAAGCATACATCTTGAAACTCAAACTCACCATAGTTTGGTGAGAATTGTAGCTGGTGAGTTTTATTAGCTTGTAATATCATCCGCAGTTGTTTGCATGTTGATTCTTGTCCACGAAAATCAAGTGAAATCAAATAAAGCTTGTTTTTTAACGATGACTTTACGGGGGTTAAAAAATCAAGGGCTACTCGATAGACGTGTTATTTAAAAAAAAGATATATTTGATGAAAGAACAAACAGATAGACTTCGACTTTTTATCCCCCACAGTAAAACCCAAATTGATTTAAAGTACCAACTTCATTCGAAAAATATAAGCGTTTTTAAAACTTTTCTTCAATACCTTGCCGTTCAAAATTTTGAAATCTGCATTATCAAGCCTTTCTTCAAAAAGCCGTGAGAGGTGTTCAAAAGGCCCACAAACAGATCTCAAATGAGCAAAATTTCGGACGGTGCTAGCATGAGAGCTGTTTGTCCCCCTTCTGCGCTAGTGAAGGATATCAAAACACATTTTATTGCTATAACGAGCTTTCATAATTTATCAATGACTCATGGCTTCAACCCCTTTGATTCCACTAGTCGGCAGTGTCTTACACCCTTGGACCATTTGCGATGAGTTTAACAGATTTTGCCTCGCTGAATTCAAATATGTACTCAGATTTTTTTTAACGCGCACAGTTTTTGAGAAAAACGAACACAAATGTTCGAATTTTCATAGATATTTAGTTTGCTTGTTCTGTCAAGTTAGATTTCTGATTCACCCTTTGAAAATAATGCTTCGATTTTAAAATGGACCTTGCTGAATCCATACGTTGGTTGGTTTTTTTAAGCATACACAATTGTTGAGAAAATCGAGTCTCAATTCACAAAAGTACGTATTTTCATAGAAATTGTGTTTACCTGTTCTTCCAAGTTAGTGCTCTTTAAATACGGCCGCTGCGAGAATTTTCAGCAGAGGCAGAGAGAAAGAGAGGGAAAAAAATCACCTTTAACCGCAGACTTGCTACTAATTGCTGTTTGCCACGCCGAGTGCAACCAAGATGTACTCGATTATGACGACTGGGTTTGGGGAGAACGTTTATTTTGTGAAAACAGTGATATAATTATCACTTATTATTTGAATTTTTTCCAAAGCTGTTTTATGTTAAATTGGATAAACATATTTATATCAGAAGACTCGTAGAGTTGTTTCCGATTGATTGGTGTATTTGAATTTTAGTTTCATCTATAACTGAAGCGTTCAAAACCTAACATCTTTTCGTGACGGTCACAATTTTAGATTTTCGAATAACCCCCTGTACCTTCCCGTAAGACATAGTCTGCGTCAAAACAGACAAATTCAGAATAATAAGCACGCTATTTCTAAACTACCCAAATTTGAGTAGGGTCTACAAATATTGGTCAAAAGCGAAGCTACTCAAAAATGAGTACAATAAGTTGGGATTGACAAGTTGAGAAATAAACAACATCGATCGGATTCAGAGCAACTTGTCTCTCCCAACTTGGTTTACTCATTTTTAAGTAGCTTCACTTTTGACCCACATAAGTAGATCCTACTTCACTTTGGGAAGTTTAGAAAAAAACGTGTGGTAAATGGAATGTTCGCAAATCAGGTTGAAATTAACAATCATAAAAATATTAAATTTTAAAACCAATTTTACATCAATCAATATCAATATTTGAGTTATGCAAATCTGAGTCCAATTTAACCAAAATCGCCATATTTGTTGCAGGATAATCAGTTGTGCAAATCTGGGCAAATACTTGCCGAGATTTATTTACTAAAACTAAGTGTGTATCCCGATGTGTAGGGAAACTAATTAAAAACAAACAGTTGTTGATGTAACTAAGAGTTGTAAAAAGATGTTTGTTTTTTATATTAAAAATAGTTTGGTAAATTACTAAGCCAAGTGTATAATATTATTAAAACTAGTAGTTTTTATTCGTTAAATAATTAAGAGCTCTAATTAACATACTTAACATGTTTTGTTGAAATTTGTATAGCTGATTTGCTCGGCACATTTGACATACTGAGATTTCTATGTGGAAATTGGCAAGATTTACCCAGCCAACAAACGAGAGTGTAGTTGAGATATCAGCTAACAAACATATATTTTGTTTAGACCTGATCGGCTGAACGAGGTTTTGCAAGCTAAATCGAGTATGTCGATAATCAATTCACTCAGGCTTGAGCTCGTTTTGCAGGTAAAATTTATTGGCATAAATTGATCAAATTTATTTTGATGTGTTCATTACAATTCCTTTATATTTGGGTTCATGTTACCCATATTCTTGAGTTTGTCCGGTTTTGACCGACTCTTGGTAAACTATATCCAGATTTGGATATAACGATCTTAGCGTGTAGGTTTTGACCTGATTTAGGTATTTCATTCTACTTCATTTGAATCGTGCAAATAAATAAAAACTGAAGGATCTTCCATAGTCAAAGATTGATTCAATGAGTAAGCATTCCGAGTTTGAGCAGCTCAAAATCACACCATTTACTCAACTTAAGTTAACTTCCCCCCAATTGAGCACGAGCGCTGATTTTCAAAGTGAAAAGGAAATGATTGCGCCCAGGACAGTAGAATTTAACTCAAATTCGAGTTTCGTTTACTCAGTGTCGTATTTAGCACGGTAACAGTAACAGTACAGTAAAATTTACTCAGATCCGATCAGATTTTTGCTCAGTAAATTGAACTCCAATTTGAATTAAATTCTACGGCCGTGTGCCCAATGAGAATGCATTATAAGAATCTTCCTCCTTAAATATCGAAACATTTAGTGTTCTCATATTTTTAATGAGTATAAAATTAGTTTTTTTTTTTTTTAATTATGTTACGCCATTCTGTACATTCATCGAACTTGCATGCAACATTGTTTGAGACTTGGCCAGCAAGCTTATTTCTGCGAATAGCTCGCGAGATGTCTTTAGTGAGTTCCATGACGATATATTTATGGAAAATTTATTTAAAGGGCTACGTCTGTTTGTCTGTGATACTATATTCTATTATATTGTTCGATTCCTGGTCCATTCTAGAAAATCTGTCGTGTTGGTTTTACTTTCAAAATCCTTGGGCATTTTAGTTGCTACATAAAATTCAAATTTAGGATTGATTGACATCGACAACACTCGATTAATTACTGTTGAAGTGCTTCATAGAAAACTCCAGGTTGAGAGCAGGTATAAGCACGTGTGAGATCTTCAAAGTAAGAAAGACGAAGAAGCCTTATAAACATCTTCCTCCTTAAATAAAGTTTTATCGAGGTTATAAAAAACTCTACAAGTCTTAACCATGGTTTACAGAACCTTCATAAATTCCAAATTGTATCTTGGGTATTGGGCAGTTCAACGCCAAAAGACGAATCGGAAAAAAGCACGACCTTCTCCGATTTGGATAATTGTGTGTTATGGGCAATCATTCACACTTTTGCACAAATTCGGCCATTTGGGATCAAGTAATTTTAGTCAAAATGGCGCCTTTATCGTTTTCCAATAAATTCTAGCACGCAAACGTCACTTCTGATCAAAGTTAAGTCTGATACAAAGTTGTTCATACAGATATAGTCTTGTCGAATTTTGTAATTTTGAGTAAAAACTCAAAAAGGGTGTTACTCAAGTTTTCAAAAGTATACCTTAAATTTTTTCAATTTAAAAAAGCGAACTTTTGAACTATATAAAACTACGGACACTTCAAAATTGACAAAAATCGTAGCGCAAGAATTAAAAGTACTACTAGTACGCTTATTTATGAAATTAATACGCCGGAAACAATATTTGAGACATACTAAGCTAGCTAACAATGAGTTTACAAATTTTACCAAAAGTTGATGTTCTACGATTTTTGACAATCTTTAAGTGTCTAATGATGTTAAATATTCCAAAAGTTTGCCTTTTTTATTTATATAAATTGAAGAAAGTATTATATCTAAGCTTTGAGATATTTCAGCTATCAACACTTTTTTTAAATTTTTACTCAATACTACTAAACAAAATTACCGTGTTTATGTTTCCCAGAAAAAAAACCTTTACTTTTCTCAACAACTTTGTTTCAGACGTCATTTTGATCAGAAGTGACGTTTTCGTGCTACAATTTATTAAAAAAATGACAAAGACGCCATTTTGAATAAAAATACAAGATCCAAAATGGATGAATTTCAGCAAAAAGTTGAATGATCGTCCATAACAAACAATTATACAAAGTTTCATGCAAATCGAAGAAGATCGAGCCAACAAAAATGTTCTATTTTAGCTAATTGGCCTGGAACTGCTCTATTGTCTAGAGGTATTTCTCATCAGTATGAACCAAACTTATAGATGTCGGCATGGTTATCCGAATATTGTGTAGGTTGTCATCACGAAGAAATTCACGCCTCTAGACTTCAACACCCAAGCAAAGCAGTATATATCTAGAGATGGATAAAATAGTTCTTTTCACTGAACGGTTCCGAGCCGTTCAATGCACTGAAAAGAACTAGTTCTTTGGAACAGTTCTTCCGTTCTAAAAAAAAAAAAAAAAATGATTCAACGTGGCAGTTCAAGGTTGCTTGGAGTTTCTAATCAAAATTGATCAAAAATGTTTGGACTGCACTTTATACCGATAATGTTAAGAAACAATTGTGGAATAGTTGTTACTTATTATATTTGGCATTCTAATAATTTTGATTGCAGCTGTTTCTGTTTTCAGATGTCTTCCATGTCATCCAAAATAGAGTTTATTTCTTGAATAAACGTAGGTTCTCTTTTTCAAAACAATATTAAATAGTTAATTTGTTCACTAATATCAAAAACAACATATCAAGAAGACTGGCAACTCTTCCGCTTTTTCAAACGCCATCTACCGCTCAAAGGTTAACCCTTCATAAGTCAGTGGCAACTCTATGGCCACAAACAATTACATTTTAGTCTGGATTTCAGGAATTTTGAAGCACGCTCAAAAAAAAAAATACACCTCTTGAAAATCCAGATTTGTTCACACAAATTTTTTGAGTTATTTTATTAGAAATAAAATTGTTTTTGGTCATTACACCATGTGAACTTTATATTTATTTGTAGTACGAATTGATTGCATGCTTGGTTCGCTCGACCTTATAAAAGGGTGGATACGAAAACAAAAAATTGATAACGAATATTCCAATCCAACCTCAGAAGAGAGGTTTGCGTATGTGCTCATAATTGTTAGTGCTGCTTCCAACTTTGGTCAAGAACAGCTCTTATCCCATCCTGCTTCATACGGGCCTCATCAGAACTTACAAACACTGGTATACCCGCTGCTCAGCTTTATATAGCAAAACAGGCGAAATAAAGTGCCTATGGCTACTTGGACTGTATTTATCTCTAGGATTCTGACAAAGTTGCTGGTCTATTTGATATGATGTCTTCGATAATATAGTATCGATTATTCAGTGAGTTGGGAATAAAGCTCTGTCCTAGAATCTTAGTCTCACATGCACCCTCTAAGTGGCTGTTCATAAACTACGTAGACCGAGGGGGGCGACAAGCGCAACGCTATTTTTTCTGTCGCTTGGATTCTGGCAAAATTTCCAGTCTTCTTGGTATGATGTCTTCGCTTTAAGTCCATCACGAACATTTTTAACTCCATTCGCTTAATACATTGATGAAATTATTTGCTACCATTCTGCGGTAGGTATATGGAAAATAAATTTCTAGAAAAATCATTAACGCCATATGGAGTACTTCACCAATTCCCGACTGCACTCGTGCTTGCCTCTCCTTCCTGGAGGGGGGGCCAGAGCAGCTCGAATCGAACGGTTGTAGGAGTTAGTACTGTTAGTGCCAAAAAGCAGGTTAACACCACACATCGAGAAGGATCATACTCGGTACTACAAGAAAGCTGCATTTGTTTGTTAATATCAGTGAACAACGACCTCTATCGGACTAGAAGGGAGAACCGTATATCTAGGCGGGGGTTAGTACTAAGGTCAATTTTGACTTAATTCGCGCGGTTTCGGGGGGGTGGGGAGGGGTGGAACACAGAGAGGTCGTCAGTGAAGTAAGGACGCAAACAAATATTTTCAACAGCAAGGCAAGAACAACAACAACGATCGTTCAACGGTATAGTAACCTGCTTGGCCAGATGGCAAGCTCGGGCCGGCGAGTTAATGATTTCGTAGTAAAACACGGAAAAATTGAGCGCCAGGCCTAACCGAATCGGGTGCGTTGGTTGCATTTTCGTTTTCGCAATATCGAACGCTTCCTGATACGATTTCTGCGAATCTTCAACCACGGCTACAACAAAAGAACAAGAGGTAAAGAGAGAGAGAGAGAGAAAGTATAGAGATAAACAGATGAAACAGTAGGGTGGGTTTTTTTTTTGGAGATGGATGAGCACATGACGGGGTGGGTAAAATGGCGGCTTTATTGGGTTAGCACCGATTGACCTATAAACCACAATGAACGACCAATGGGATTGTGTGGAAGGAACGCTTGGTCCGCTTGGTTGATATCGCTCAACCCATTCCGGAAATGCAATTAACCATGTCATCCCTCTTTCTGAAGTGATTGCGTGAGTGTCCGATGTGTATTTTATTTTGATTTTGATCGATTTTCCTTCTTCCGGTTCCCAAAAAAATAACAGAACGGTATAGCAGAAAGTTCTATAAATAGTGCTAAGGAATAAATGGTGGTAGTGACCTGTTTCGCCAGCTGGCAGGCTTTGTCTGGAGAGTTTAGGATCTCGTAATAGAAGACTGAGAAATTGAGCGCGAGACCCAACCGGATGGGATGTGTTGGCTGCATTTTGCCTTTACTAATTTCAAAGGCATCCTGGTAAGCGGCTTGGGAATCGTCTACTACGGCTGTAAGTGGTGAGGTGGAACGCATGATCGCAAAGATAAGACAACAATAACAACGAGAAGATTGAGAGATGGTGATTAGTGGTTTGCTGGGCGGCAGTAATGATGGTTCGGCCGATGACCGTCGCCGGATGTTGCCGTCCTGACGCTGCTTTGCTGTCCAGCAGGATCGAGCGGAACCGGTAATACTTACTGTTGCGGGTTTCTCCTGTGGCTACCTCGGCTAGGTATCTGTAGTAATCTCCCTTCATTTTGAGGTAAAACACCTTACTTTCTGGATTACTGGCTTTGGGGATCAAGAATTTGTCCAGCAGGCCCTGCAAGTGGAGAAGAGAAGGAAGTTTTATTATTAACGGAACGATTGGGGGCAATGGTTGATTTGAACATGCATTGGAAAACTTAGTCTACTTGTATTTCTCATCAGTATGAACCAAACTTATAAATGTCGGCATGGTGTTCCGAATACTGTGTAGGTTGTCATCATGGAGAAATACACACGCATGTAGTAGCGTTCAGCGCCCAAGTATAGCACAGAAATCTTAGCATTCATTAAATTTTCAGAAACAAGAAGAAGAAACAACCGCAGCTGCCATACATTCCACACACTGACACAAAAACATATAATTAAATGAATTGTAGACTCCGAACTTTAATAAAATTTGACAGTTGGAAAGTTATCGACTAACCCTGCTATCCGAGCGTGGGTATTTCTGACAGACAAGAAGTTAAATTTTGGCAACCGTGGCTGAGTTTTGCTCGAAAACCGATCGATCGGTAACACAGAGATTTTCGAACATAAGAAATAACTTTCGAAACGTCACTTTTAACCACAAGTTAAATTTAACTCGGCAAATGGTTCCTAGCCAAAATAAATTCTTCTGAGATACGTTCTGGCACAGGTTCTGGTATATTTGACACTACTATGTAATCACAACCGGATTAATTATGTCTGCTTCTTAAAGCTCATTTCCTGACATTTTCTGTGAGGTTCTGCGGATAAAGGGTGTCCCACTTCAAATTGCATCACGGAAAAAACGTTTGTCCCGAATATCAGGCATTTTAATTTTTTTGGAAGTTTGAGAGTACCAAATATCGTTTATTGCACGTTTAAGGACAATAGACCTATAGATGAGTGCACTGATGGAGTTGAGTTCACTCACTCGAGAAAAACTGGCTAATCATGAACGCTAATTGCGGTAAGTTTCAACTCAGATTAACCTTTAATACTGTTCGTGATTGGAGAATCTGCCAAATGTTTGTTATGAATAGTATTAATTATCATCGACGTCGACAGCAAAACAGCCTGCCATTCGTGATCGTGAGTGTATCCGAGGATAATACCGGTTGGAGATGAACAATGTACATTCCTGGTGGTAAGCTCCAACCGGCACTATCCTTGGATTAAATCTCAATTAAGAATATTCAGCTGCTTTGATGTCGACATCAGAGGGGTTGGAATTAAAAGTTAATCCGAGTTGAAGCTTACCACTATTAATGTTCATGATTAGTAAACATTGCCCGCAGCTTGTGCCACTTTTTCTTGAGTGAGCGAACTTTCGTCTATAGGTTTTCAAGTTTGTTTTGCATCCACTCCTCTCTTATCCTAGAACCTTATGCCGCTGGTACACTTGTATGACAAACTATGAACATGAGCATTATTTGTATCAAGTCTGTTCCAGTTAGTATTTGGTCGCTTCTTTTTAATTACTGTAGCGCCTCTAGTTGTCGTAGCAAGAAACTATTGGCAGCGTTTTGATTTGTTTATTTAGAAGTGAAAATTTCATCAGGATTCAGATACTTGATCAAAAGTTATCGAAGAAGATCGACATTTTGACGGACGAGTTTCAGAAAACGTAAAAATGGACTTTGGACAAATCTCCGGATAAATTCAAATTTGTCTTTGCAGATAAATTCGCTCGCAAGTTGATGATTTGGCAAGGCATCTGCTGTTGCGGAAAGAAAACAAAGGTTTTCATCACTGGAGCGACTATGAATGGACAACTTTACAAGGAGGAGTGTCTCCAGAACATAATTTTGCCGTTCATTCAATCACACGAAGGTCCCGTAAAGTTCTGGCCTGACTTAGCCAGCTGCCATTACAGCCGCGATATCATAGAATGGTATAAGCAGAATAATGTCGATTTGAATGAGGTATATTAAAAGTATCAATCCCCCAAGTTGTCCAGTTTTTCGTCCCATTGAAAAATTTTGGGCAATTATCAAGTGCAAATTGAAGAAATGTGGCAAAATAATCAAAACATCATCTGATTTGGAGAAGTGGTGGAAAAGGATGGTAGATGAGTTTGACAGTACTAATGTGCAAGAAACGATGATAGGTATTCCGCAAAAAGTTCAAAAATTCATCCGAAAAGCCGACGAATAATTTGTGTTGTATTCTTCTGTATTCTTCCATTAAAGCTAAATAAAAATCCTTCAAAATGATACGTTTAGCGTTTTTGTACTTCATTTCCCCTTGGAGAAATAACCTTTTTTTGTGCGGCCAAATTCTAAATGGAAAATACTTTAATAGATCATGAGCACATCCATGGTCACGCTTGTATAGTTTTAGGATTTGCTAATAATTTATTATACAAATAATGCTCATGTTCACAGTTTGTCATACAAGTGTATCCGCGGCATTACTTCTTTCTAGAATCTTGTAGTTGTTATTGTTTCTTTATGAAAGAGACTTTCAGCCCAAAGCTGGCTCGACTCCGGATATTTTCTCGTATCTTAAAATTTGACCATGTTTAGTTTAGGCTGCTATGTTTTGAAATAGTTTGCTTAACATCTGATAACCAATCGTTTCGAGCTTTTCAACTTCTTGAATTTTGCTAGTAAGGAAAATGGATGTAATGTCGGCCTAAATGCCCCTAATTTGGACCCATACATAAATTCAACAATCGACTAAATTTTCAATAGCGACCAAAAATAAACATAAGTACCGTCCCAATGACGCGTTCATCTAGATAAAATTGACAAATAGCAGATTTTTAGCGATGGGCCCAATCTTAGATCCATAGGCAAACATTAGAGCCATTTCCCCTATTTGAAACTTTTCGTGCAAGGCTGATTTTATAGACCTGCTGACAGTTATGAAAAGATCAATTCAGTGTTAACATTTCAAAGGAGCGTAATTGCTTTTGTAAACAATGGCTTTAGTCGTCGATTTCTCGCGAATGAAAGCTCACACATGAAAATTAATAAAACCAACAAGTAGAGGAATGTTTCCTCTACCAGCTAGCATTGTTAATTTGGTGGGGTGAGCTTTAGTTCGCGAGAAATCGACGGTTAAAGCCATTGTTTACAAAAGCAATAACGCCCCTTTGAAATGTTGACACTGAATTATTACAACGTTATTTTTGTTGCTTTCTCAGGCGCTCTTAAGGGGCACGCACATTAGATCCGTTTGCGTTGCGTTGACGTAAATTTGGCAGTTAGACAATAGATTTAGCTGTCACTTTGCCGCAACGCATCCGATCCGGATCTAATGTGCGTGGGCCTTTACGGTACGTACCTTACCTACGACCAAGAAAATTTGTTTCAAAAACCGAACGAACTGAAGCGCTTAACTGCTTCATAATTATTCCTTACCTCGTGTTTAAATAAGAACTTATATTTTGAAAGAAACTCAGGAGTATTTTTGTTTCCTCAAAGACACCTCTTCGGACTATATGAGACGTGTTCATTGGCGTAGATAATGGGGGTGCCAAGGGGGTCAGGCCCCCTCCTGAATTATCTCGTCCCCCCCCCCAGGAATTTTGGGTGTGTTTTTTTATGCACCGGTATTTTGTTAAGCCACTGCGAGGTTAATTTATTATTATTTTTACGAATATTTACTTGTCTTAATGTTCTAGACTAGAATAAACATTGTCGAGAATTTATGTTATATCAACATTTAATCGATATTATAATAAGACGTCTTCACGCTCTACAAATTGACCAAGAGTCTTGGATTATTTTTAGACCTCAGGAAACTTCGTAGGACTTCTAAGAAGTTCAGGGAAAATCGTAAAAAATTAACGAAACTTAATAGAAATTCTGGGAACTTCATAGAGATTCAGAAAAATTCGTAAAAACTCAGGGAGCTTTGGAAAAGTTATTTTGTTAGTTAAGTTTTGGAATCTTCGTAGAAGTTAAACATTATTTAATTTCAGTAAACCTCATTATTGCTCGGGGATCGTCATATAATTTTTGAACACCTATTTGAAGCCTCATGAGCTTGAAATATTTCAGGGATTACCTACATTACGTACGTTCGCGGAAAATCAACGAGAAACGTAGAAGTTTTGTGATTTTCGTAGCAGAAGGTGTATATAATTTCATATAAGTGCAGGGAATTTTGAAGAAGATTTAAAAATAGTTCAGTAAAGTTCTAAGAACTTCAGGGATCCTCGCTTCAGTTTAGGTAACTTCATTGCAGTTTGCCAGAAATCTTTCTTCAAAAAAGCTCAATGAACTTCTTGGAAGTTTTGGGAAAGTTCGTTAAATTTGAAGGAACTTTGCGGATGTTCAAGAATATTTGAAGATAATGGGGTTCGTTCCAGAAGCACAAAGCTGTTCAGAGATCTTCGTAGAATGAAGAGAGATAGAAAAAATTATGGAATCAGAAAAAAAGTTCTGGAAACCTCGTATACAAGTTTTGGAAATCTAATGGAAATATGGAGGCGAACCAGCCTAAGGCTGAAAGCCTCCTAAATAAAGCTAAATAATAATAATAATCTAATGGAAATATACGACTCTATGTGAAAGGTCAGAAACTGCTGGGCAAGATCAAGACAGGCTCAGAAAAGTTACAGAACTGCCAAAACCAGTTGAGGTACTTCTCTTTGAATATACTCAATTACAAACTTTACTTTGAATTAATCATTTTGTTCGACCATTTTTCACAGAGATGGCGCTGTTCCGCTGGTAGGAAGTGATAAAAATCCCCATATAGAAATTGAAAGAAGTGCGAATAATTCGCTTCCATATTCAGGTCAAAAAAAGTGAACGACAACCTAAAGAAATTAGTCAGGGGCTTTGTCGTTCAGTTTTTTCCCGGAAATTAATGCTAAACAAGCTACAATTAAATAAAAATGATTTTTCCCCATACAGTTTTACCTGCTTTACTACCAGTCCCAGAGAGCCAAAAAATTTAAATTTGAGAGAGAAATTCTCTCTCACGAGCTCAATCTCTGAACATGCCATGTATTTTGTTGACACTCGATTTGTGATTTCCCTTTCACAGATTACAAAATAGAGTACCTGACACTACAAAACATGTCTGGTACCTCTATATATGCATTTGCTTTAACATTTGAAGTCCCTCCTTTTT